CCACCTTCCCCTCCCTCCCCTCACCCACCCCCAACATCCCAATAATCAACAAAGAATCCCCCACACCCCCCTTTAGTATGGGTTCTTTCCCTTAGGCTTTTACAGTAGTGGTCCTATGCAGTATTTCTCTTTTTGTGACTGGCTAATTTCGCTCAACATAATGCCCTCAAGGTTCATCCATGTTATAAGGTGGCTTGCAAATTCCCTGTTGTTCTTCAAGGTAGCATAGTATTCCATTGTGTGTATGTACCACAGTTTGTTTATCTATTCTTTAGTTGATGGGTACTTTGGCTGCCTCCATCTTTTTGCTATTGTAAATAGAGGAAAACACTGTATTTGTTATTATCATTTTATGATCACAAATAAGGACGCATGAGGCAAGGTCTGGGAGAGTCCCACATGCAAAAGTTCTGTGTTTTGTCCCTGTGGAGTCAGACTGTGTCACCCTCTTAACAGATCAGTGTATTGTCAACCCTGGAAGCTCACCTGAGTTTCAGTGTCGGTCATAGGCAGTGAGTAATCAGATTGTTAGTCATGTGATTGAATTTCGTCTCTAGCCTCCCTCATCTCCCTGAAGGTTGGAGTGACATCACCCAGTGAGCCTGGACCAGCCCCCACCATGACTCACCTTGTTAACAGAAATGATCAGGTGTGGTCAGAAACCTGCCACAACAACACTTACTTACGAAGAAATGCCAAGACTTTAGCGTTTATCCCCCAGGAATCATGGATAAAATCCAAATCCTTTAGATAAAGCAATTCTTAATCCCCCCACTCCTAACTCAGTCGTCTTCCCAAGACATCCATCTGAAGCTAGAGCCAGAGCTGGGTTAAAGGCACACCAGCAATCTACAAGAAATGCTAACACGTCCCTGGAAATTTATGGATAATCACATTTTCCAGAACTCTCCTCTGAAAGATTGCTGCATTGGGTTAGAAGCAAGTCCCAGCTCTGCCACTTACAAGTTGTTCAAACTCAGTTTCCTCATCTGTACAGTGGAGTAATAGATGTATCCACTTTGTAGGCACATTGTGAAAATTAACTGGATAAATATTTGTAAAGCCCAGCAAGGAGCTCTGATAGTGTAGTGGTTATGAGTAGGGCTGCAAACCTTAAGGTCAGCAGTTCGAAACTACCAGCTGTTCTGCAGGAGAAAAATGAGGTTTTCTGCACCTGAAAAGATTTACAGCCTCAGAAACCCTATGCAGGGTTGCTGTGAGTTGGAACTGACTCCACAGCACACCACCTGTTATGAAAATCTAAGGTGGATGGGCCTGGGACATGCAGAACTATGGTGTAGTTAGTGGCAGTTGCAAGTTTAGGCCAGAGCTGAATTGCTGAGGATGGTAGAGAAAAACCCTTGAGCTGACACTGAGGACCCCCAAAGACCCAGCTTTGTATCTAACTACACATGGAACAGACGCATGAATGGTGGGGTACCCTGTGGAGATTGTTGTTAGCACATGACCTCAGCTTTCCTGCCTCTATGCCAGCATCATTCCATAAAGAGCATCACTCTACACATCACAGGCGGTATAGAGTCAGGGTGTGTGGGGTCAAATGAGGTAGGTAACCCCGAGTGCTCAGACCAGTCTGAGTCCTCAGCAAGCACCATCTAGGAATTTGGCAACACTAGTACCTCTTCCTCCCCCCACTGGAAAACAACTTCCACAGTGCAAGGACTTGGAGCTGCTCGTTCAAGGACACAGCCCAAGTTCTTAGAACAATGATAAGTGCATAGTAGACACACAGCACATTTGTGTTTCATGAGTGAAAATTGTCTCAGGCGATTGGAAGCTGTTAAGGATTGAATTGTGTCCCCTAAAAATATGTGTTGTCAAGACCTGTGGTCTGGGAACTCTAATGGCGTAGTGGTTACGCTCTCAGCATGAATCAAAAGGTCAGTAGTTCAAACCCAGCAGTTGCTCCATGGGAGAAAGCTGTAGTTGTCTTCGTGCCTAAAGATTACAACCTTGGAAACCCTATGGGACACTTAGAATCTGTCCTCTAGGAGGTGCTATGAATCAGAATAGACTCAACGGCAAATGGATTGGGTTTAGGATCAGCACTGGACTGAGAATCACAAGGTCGTCAGTTCAAATCCAGCAGCAGCTCCTCAGAAACCTCATACAGGGCTGCTATGAGTTGGAACCAACTCGATGGCACTTAACAAAAACAACCACCAGAAACCTATGGCTGTAATTCCATTTGGGGTTGGGTTTACTTTGTAACAAGGCAGTACCTCTTGTTAAGTGCCATCAATTCGGTTCTGACTCATAGCAATCCTGTATAGAGTTTCCAAGGAGTGGCTGGTGGGTTTGAACTGCTGACCTTGTAGTTCAAACTGACCTTTTGGTCCAGTGCTTATGCTATAGCACCACATGGGGACTCCTAAAAAGACTGATAAATGGACACGTATGTCTCTAATTCTTTAAGTTTTAAATAGATAATACAAACTTGTAGTGGGAAAAATAAAAACACAAGCAAGACAAAAACAGAACATACAGCACATGACCCTCACTGCTGACCCTGTTTCCACTCTTCCCCACCCCAGAGGTCATGTAACAGGTGGGCTCCCCAAGACAGCTGACCTCATGACACTCCTTCAGAATTGCCTCAAGTTATGGCAAATGGGCTGGCCTACTAGACCAGGAGAAGCTCTGGTAGCATAGTGCTTGCCAGTTGGGCTGCAATTTTCTAGTTCAGAATTTCCACAGGGCTGTGAAAGGAAGATGAGGCTTCCATCCCTTAGACTTTGGAGTCCTGGTGTGGCACTGCGGGTTAATGTGCTAAACTGCTAAGTTGTTTGAATCACAAGGTCAGTGGTTCAAGTTCATCAGCTGCTCCTCAGAAACCCCATACAGGGTCGCTATGGGTCGGAACCAACTCTAAAGCATTTAACAACAACCACACTAGACCAGAGCACAAAGCCATAGACATGGGTTGTTAAGTGTCGTGTCGTCGAGTCGGTTCCGACCCATAGTGACCCTGTATAGGGTTTCTGAGGAGCAGCTGGTGAGCTTGAACCACTGACCTTGCAGTTCAAATGGCTTTGCAGTCTGCCTGGCGCATTAACCCACAGTGCCACCCATCCATAGACTGGGGTGGGGGAAGGTGCTGGGGTGGTGGGGTGGTGGTGGTGGTATTTTCAGTCCTGTCTCCCCAAGCTGAGGGCTCTCTGGTCAGCAGCCAGCACTCCTCACAGCTGGATGCAAGTCCTTCAGTCCTGCAGGGGACCTAGGTCACCCAGCTGTCACTGAGCATGTCTCCAACCCCCACTGCCCTTTTTGTTTGCATTTCCCTGTGGCTCTGGAGAATTCTCTCAGCCGGTTAGCTCTAGCAACCTCCGTCTTTCCTTCCCATCAGCCCCCTCTCCCTGCCCTCAGGGCGGTTCCCACACAGTGTGGGCTGCTGGGCCTTAGCCTCAGGCAGCCTGGGAAGGGAGAATTAAGGCTTTTTTTTTCCTTCTTTTTTTTTTTTTTTCTCCAAAACCACTTTCTAGGGCTCTGGAGTTATAAAAAGCTCCCATGTGTCATTTTCTGGCACTTGGACAGTTGCAGAACGCCATCCGACAAGCATTCTTGTCCTACCCGGTGTTTAGCATTTGATTGATGGGTTGAGTTTGGCAAGAGCAGTTGAAGGTTATCACAGATCTGTAGGTAGCTGGTGTTGGATAACTTAGAAATAAAAATAGTGTACAGAATACAGGTCTCCAAATGCCCCTCCCCCAATTTTCCATGGACTGAGTACTGCCACCCACCTGGGGAGGGATGTGGGAAGGAAGACAGGCCACCCTGGACGTCCAGTGGATCAGAATGTCTGACAGTCTTTGTGGATGACTTGTCCCTTGAGTGTGGCTTCCTGTTGTGACTTGAAGGTGACTCCATTCCCCTCCGCCCCCAGCACTATGGCTTCCCACCCCATGGCTTCCTGTCCCGTGCTGCAGAGGGAAACACTGTTCCAGTCAGGTGACCATGCCTACAGAATCCCAGCTCTGCTCTACCTGCCTCATCAGAAGACCCTGCTGGCTTTCTCGGAGAGGCGGGTGAGCAAGAGGGATGAGCATGCGGAATTGATTGTCCTGCGCAGAGGGGACTATGATGCGTTCACCCACCAGGTCCAGGTAAGGTCCTTCGGGCAAGAGTAGCTCCTGCAGGACCTCTCTATTATACTTTACTGCTGTTCAGGAGCCAGGATCCCATGAAATGAAGGACATTTAGATGCTGGAGATCTGGGAAAGAGTAAGGAGAAGACAAAAGAGCCCAAGAGAACGATTGAAACATACCAGAATTTACACCTCATGAGAATACGCAGACCCAGTGACCACCGTGAGCAAGTCTAATTGGCCTGGCCGCATTCACTTATTGCATAGCTGGACAAGTTAGTCCATCATTTTATCTCTGGGGTTTAGCACATCATTGTTGTTGTTAGGTGCTGTCGAGTTGCTACTGACTTATATACAACCTTACACACAACAGAAAGAAACATTGGCCGGTCCTACACCAACTTCACAATTGTTACCACGCTTGAGCCCATTGTTGCTGCCATTGTGCCAATCTATCTCACTAGGGGTCTTCCTCTCCTTTGCTGACCCTCTACTTTACCAAGCATGATGTCCTTCTTAAGAGGAATGGGTCCCTCTTAATAATATGTCCAAAGCATGAGAGATGAAGTCTGGCCATCCTGGCTTCTTAGGAACATTCTGGCTGTACGTCATCCAACACGGATTTTTGTTTGTTCTTTTGGCAGTCCATGGTATGGTATTTTTAATATTCTCCTCAAACATCATGACTGAAATATATCAATTCTTCTATGGTCTTCCTTATTCACTGTCCAACTTTCACATGCAGATGAAATTATTGAAAATACCATGGCCTGGATGCACTTGTGATGTGCTGGCTCACCTGACCCATCACGGGGACACTGTGAATGCAAGTTAAAGGGAATAAGCTAACCCAGAGCAGTTCTAGTGAAGAGCAGGCTGCCGTGGAGGGAGTACGTTTGGGGCTCTGGCTCCCACCACTCTGGGGAGACGTTGTAGGAGATGCAAGTGTTAGATGAAGAATTCTCTTGAATGACCTATGATTCTAAGTTCCCTCATGGGGACACACCCACCCCAAGACTGTAGCTCTTGTCACCATCACTGGCTAAGTCACAGGTGAATGTGTCTTTCTTCCTCTCTCCTCACATCCAGTGGCAAAATCAGGAGGTGATAGCCCAAGCCCAGTTGGAGGATCACCGGTCCATGAACCCATGCCCCTTGTATGATGAGAAGACCGGGACTCTTTTCCTCTTCTTCATCACCATTCCAGGGCAGATCTCTGAACACCACCAGATTCACACAAAGGTCAACGTGACGCGGCTGTGCCAAGTCACCAGCGCCGACCTGGGGAAGACCTGGAGCCCCATCAGGGACCTTACCAGCACCGCCATTGGCTCTGCCTACAGGGAATGGGCCACCTTTGCGGTGGGCCCGGGCCACTGTCTGCAGCTGCACAATGAAACCCGGAGTCTAGTGCTACCTGCCTACGCTTACCGGAACCTTCACGCTCTTCAGACACCTCCCCCTTTTGCCTTTTGCTTCCTCAGTCATGACCACGGGTATTCCTGGGAGCGAGGACACTTTGTGGCCAAGGACACCCTGGAGTGTCAGGTGGCAGAAGTTGGGGTTGGGGAGCAGAGTATGGTGTATCTCAATGCCAGAAGCATCCACAGATCCAGGATTCAGGCACACAGCACCAATGATGGGCTCAACTTCAAGGAGCCCCAACCAGTGAAGAAGCTCGTGGAACCTCCCCATGGCTGCCACGGGAGTATCATCAGCTTCCCCAGCCCCCAGACGGGGTCCGCCTCCTCAGACAATTGGCTACTCTACACTCACCCAACGGACCCCAAACACAGGACCAACCTGGGAGTGTACCTCAACAAGAAGCCTTTGGACCCCAAAACCTGGTCGGAGCCTTCTCTGCTAGCCACGGGCAGCTGTGCCTATTCTGACCTCCAAAGCATGGGGGCTGGGCCTGATGGGTCTCCCCAGTTTGGGTGCCTGTACGAATCTGATAATTACCAGGAGATTGTCTTCCTCCTGTTCACCCTGAAGCAAGCTTTCCCAGCTGTGTTTTGACTCCATGAACCAGCTTCAGGACGGACAAGGACAGCTTCCTGCTGGCCCCAAGCCCCCTATGTTCTTTCTGAATTAATTGAAACACTGATTCTTTTCCTTTTCTCTGGAGGCCCACAGGACTTACATGCCAGCCCTTGGTCCTTCTCATTAAAAGTATGTGAAGAGATCTGCCTGTTGGCTGTTTTCCTCCTTCATGGCTTTAGTTCTTCTAGAAGATTCTACTTTCAGCCCAGAAATAAAGCAACCTGGTTTTCCTTAGCCCCTTGAAAGGGAAGGTGCTGAACATTCCCCTAGTCCCTGTTCTGCACAGCTCAACCTGCCTGCCCTCCCACCCCCTTCACCACCTCCAGTTCTGTGTAGGTTTTGATACATCACCTCCTCATTCATGTTCGTGGGGAAAAGGCCAGAGACAAAGAGATGCAAATTAGTAGAGGTGTGTCTGTGTGTGTGTGTGTGTGTGCTCTGTGAAGGCTTCAGGGCTGCTCAGAGTGGGGAACAGCATTAAAGAAAGGCAAGACAGTGTCTAGGAAAATTAGGTTTGCTTAAATCATTGCCTTCTTTTTCTAGGACTGTCGTAACAAATCACAACATTGGTGGCTTTAAAAAAAATCCCACAGCCATCAAATCAGTAACAACTCATAGTTACCGGATAAGAAAAAAATAGAATTGTCCCCTAAGGTTTCCAAGGCTGCAAATCTTTACGGAAGCAGACTGCCTCATCTTTCTCCGGTTGTTGGTGGCTCAGGACAACAGAAATCTGTCCTTTCATGATTTTGGAAACTGGAAGTCTGGCATCAAGGTGTTGGCAGGACCACGCTCCCTTCAATGGTTCCAGGGTGGTCTATTCTTTGGGTCTTCCAGCTGCTGGTGGTTCCTGGCTAGTAACTACTTTACTTCAGTCTCTCTGCCTCTGTCTTCCCATAGCCGTCTCTTTTATCTTCTCTTTTGTCTCACCTGGATGGTCTCTGTTGAGATCCTTAACTTAATTACACCTGCAAAGACCCCTTTCCCAAATAAAGTCACATTCACAGGTTCTGAGGATTGACATGGGCGTATATTTCAGGGACCCCCTCCCAATAAGCCTGCTACACTCATCATCAGTTGTTTCTGTATTAGCGAGGTGACTAAAGATAGGATTCCAAACCTAAAAACAGACTGACATTAAGTCGATTTTCACTCATGATGACCCAGTATAGGGTTTCTGAAGCTGTAAACCGTTATGGGAGCAGAAAGCCTTATCTTTCTCCCTAGGAGCAGCTGGTGGATTTGAACTGCTGACCTTGTTGATCCTATAGTGCCACCAGGTAGAAGTGAATGCAGATGGATCTGATAGCTCAGAAGAACTGAGGATGTGGAAGGGGGCTGAGGCTGCTAGGGTACACCTGGTCTCCATGGTGATAGACAAGACTTGTCATTGTTGTTGTTAAGAGCCATCGAGTCAGTTCTGACCCATAGCGACCCTGCCTAGGGTTTCCAAGGAGCAGCTGGTGAACTTGAACCATCGACCTTGCAGTCCAAACCAACTTTGCAGGCCAGTGCATTAACCTACAGCACCACCCCAGGACTCCCAGGCTAGGTGCAGGTTAATAGAATGGGAGAGGATGAAAACAACGCCCTGTTTGTCTAAAGGGGTCGTGCTGTGAGAGGAGCTCTGCCCAACTGAAGGAAAACCTCTTTGGCCTCTGGGGTCATCAGAGGTCTTTGCACACATCTTCTGTCCCAAGGCCATAAATGACAACAGTCATGGTGTTGCTGCTTGGCCACGTGATGGGTAGAGAGGAATGTCACAGTGAGGGTCGCTGGTAACACTTTGGTCCTCTCTGGGTGTGGTTTTGGGGTTGGCTTCTCCATATAGGATTTTAAGAAACCCAGCTGGGAGGATGAAGAAAGGACGTTGGATGAAAAGCTAGAACCATCAACTCTGTTACTCAGACCTGTCACATTTGTCTGTCAGTTTGCTGCACTCTGGTGACGTTCATGTTGCTGTGGTGCCGGGAGCTATAACTGCTGGTATTTCAAATGCCACTAGCCTCACCCATGGTGGGCAGGTTTCAGTGAAGCTTCCAGACGAAGACAGAATAGAAGGGAAGGTCTTCTGGTCTACTTCTGGGAAAAAAACTGGCCAGTGAAAACCTTACGAATAGAGGCAAACATTGTCGGATACAGTGCCAGAAGACAAGACCTCAGTGTGGAAGACACTTGAATACGACTGGGTAAGAGCCGTTTTCCTCAGTCTAGAGTTGACCTTTATAATGTGATGGAGTAAACCTTTCTGTATCTTCATTTGCTGATGGGGATCGACTCAAAATTAGAAGAAGCAGCTGCAAACATTCATTAGTAATCAGAGTGTGGAATGTAAAAATATGAATCTGGGAAAATTAGACGACCTCAAAAATGAAATGGGAGACATAAAGACTAACAACCTAGACGTTGTTGTTGTTTATTACTGTTGAGTTGCTTCTGACTCATAGCTACCCTGTATAGGGTTTCCAAGGAGCCGCTTGTGAGCTTGAACCACCGACCTTGTGGTTCAAACTGGCATGGCGGTCCAGTACTGTATCCCACAACCCCACACCATTGGGTGTCATCGAGTGGGTACCGACTCATAGCGACCTTATGCACACTGCCCGATCCTGGGCCAACCTCACTACTGTTGCCACACTTGAGTCCATCCTATATATAGTATATCTCAATTAAAAAAATAAAAGTTGAGCTAAATGGTAGATTTATGATTTTAACTTGAAACACATATCGTATTGGGATTTAAAACTTTGGGACAGAATTTTAAAAATTAATTATTAAAAATTTTGGAATAGCTTTAGGTTTACAGAAAAATTGCAGACAGTACAGAGTGTTCCCATGTCCCCCACACCCAGTTACCTCTCACGCTGACGTCTTACATAACTGTGGTACATTTGTCAAAATGAAGAGATTCACACTGGTGCATTACCATTAACTGAAGTCTAGGCTGTATTCGGATTTCACCAGTTTTTCCACTAATGTCCTTTCTGCTATTCTAGGACCCGATCCAGGATACATTTAGTGCATTTAGTGAGACTGAATTGTTACTGTAATAAGTTTGTATCCTTAGAAACACACACATACAACACAGATTATACCCAGTTCCAGCAGTCGGGGCCTCCACCCACCCCCTAAAAACCACTCCCCAAACAAATCAGTAAACAAGCAAACTCAAAGAATGTACTCTTCAGGCTCCAAGTACTGTCCTGAAAATGTCAGAAGACACAGTTCAGCCTCTGGAGGTTCAGGAAGGTGCCCCCTCCACCCACCCAAATCAATCACATTAAAGCTCCGGGTTCAGGCTCTTCTGCCATCGCCAGAGCAAGACCTTTGCCAATCCTGAACACAATACCATGCTCCCTGGGCCATTCGGAGGGCTGTGGGAAGGCTGTGTGTGTGTGTGTGTGTGTGTGCACATGCATTGTGTGGATGTGTGCAGTGTGAATACATGTGAATGGGTGTCAGTATATGTGTGTGGTTGCTTGACTATGCACATGCATCTGCATGAATATGTGTGTGTGAATGTGTGTACAAGTATGGGAGAGTATGTAAACAAGTGAGTGAGAAGGTGTGTGGATTGTGTGAACTTGTAAGTGTGTAAACAATTGCATGTGTGAATGTGTGTTATGACTGTGAGTACCATCTGTGCACATAAATGAGTGTGTGAGTGTGTATGTCCTGTGTGGGGATGCACATGTGATTGTGGTGTGAATCTGTGTGAGTGTATGTGGGGGGCATATGTAAGTGTGTATGAGTGTGCACTTTGTGTATGTGTGAGAATGTGAGTGTGTAAGAATTGTGCATTTGTGAGTATGTGGATGTGTGAATGCATGTTATGAGTGTGGGGACTGTGTGTGGCTAAATGATTGTGGGTGTGTCATGTGAATGTGTGTTAGTGTGAGAATGTGGGGACGTATACACAGTGTGTGTGATTGTGAATGTGCAAGTGTCAAAGTGTGTGTTTGGAGGTGTGTGTGCACGTGAGCATGTGTGTAAACAAGTGAGTGTGAGAATGAATGACTGAGTGTGAATTGCATGAGTTTGTAAATGTGCAAACAGTTCAGTGTGTGGTGTTTACACATTTACAAGGAATGTGTGTTATGACTATGAGCGAGTGTGGTTGTGTGGGTGTAAACCAGTGTGTGCTGGTGTATGAGTGTGAGTGTGGTTGTGTGGTGTGTCTGTGTGACGTCCGTGTATTTCCATTGCCAAGTCCAAGCTGGAGTCAAGTTCACCAACTCTTCGTCAATTCTCCTTCTGGTTTCCTGGCTTCTGGGGTGTGGGCACAAGCAAGGACCAGGCTGAAGCTGGCCATCCTGTGACCTCAGCACTCTGGTTTGGGGTAGTCCAGGGTCCTGGTTCTGGCAGATACTGGACTCAGGACTGCTGCCCCCACCTCAGTTCTGAGCAGCTATCCCCAGAGAGGTCTTTCTGTTGGATACCACCTTCCACCACGCCCTCTGCTGTGGCCTTCTGGGCTTCAGCCATCAAGGGCTGGTGATAGAGGCTTGAGACTCTAAACGCCACTGAGGAAGGAGTTTGAGGCTTGGGAGGGGGACATGGCAGCTGACATATCTGCTCCTGGGAGAGGTAGACAGGTCCTGAGAAGTTCTGTGTGGTCGGCTAAATAACAGTCCCCAGAGATATCCACTTCTGAATCCTGGGACCTGTGAATGTGCCACCTTGCATGGCAAACATGTTTGCAGATGTGATCAAACTAAGGGCCTTGCTTTGGGGAGATAATCCTGAATCACGTGTTACTGTTGCGTGTCACTGAGTAAACTCTAGCTCATAGCAACCCCATAAGACTGAATGGAACTGCTCGACACGAGTCCTCAGGGTAGCACTGTTGGATAAGCACTGGACTGCAAATCGCAAGGTGGGCAGTTCAAACCCACCAGCCACTTCTCGGAAACCCTATAGAAAGAGGGTAGCTATGGATCAGAACCAGCTCAACAGCACTTAACAACAACAACCAT